AATCTGCATTCTCCAAAAGACTATTATTGAATTTCCATATAGGTTTAAGATTGGGACTGAAGTTGCATAGTAAAAAGGACAAAGAGAAGACACAGAGATCAGTCAGAGGTGATGCTGAAATGTCACACTTTGAGACATTAAGTTAAACTAGTAGAGATGAACCAATAATCGAGCCTAGAACACTGACCATTGTTAGAAGAGTTAAACCAGGTATATTGTGACTTTGAGGGATTATTTATTCTCCAAACATCAGTTAAATTAAGTTTAGAGGCCAAGTGAATAATAGAATCATTAAAATTATGACAATGTCCCCTTAAAGGTAGACGATCTATCAATCAATCAATCAATCAATGTTTATTTATATAGCCCAATATCACAAATGTTACATTTGTCTCAGTGGACTTTACAGTTTGTACAAAATATCAGTATGACAATACGACACCCTCTGTCCTTAGACCCTCTGTCCTTAGACCCTCACATCGTACAAGGAAACACTTCCGAAGAAAACCCACAGTTTAAAGGGAACATGGGAGAAACCTCAGGGAGAGCAACAGAGGAGGGATCCCTCTCCCAGGACAGACAGACGTGCAATAGATGTCGTGTGTAAATTGAAAAGATAATACATTTGCAACATAGGTAGTCCAAATGTTTGGAAATGCATGTGTGTATAATAGGAAGATGAATCCACAAGGATATCCATCCAGGACCTATGATCCAGGACCACAGCCACGACTCAAGATCCAGGGCTCGCGATCCAGGACAGAGGAGCGCAGGATCATCCATGACTCCGGATCCCGGCGTATATAGACACCAAAAAGAAAGAGATTTGGGGAAGCTGGGTTAATGGGAACATGAGAGTACACAGGTATAGACAGAGAGAAGGAAGAAGTAAGATGTCCCCCGACAAACTAAGCCTATATCAGCAAAACTAGGGGCTGGATCTAATCAGCCCTAACTATAAGCTTTATCAAAAAGGAAGGTCTTAAGCGCACTCTTAAAAACGGATAGGGTGTCTGCCGCCCGAACACAAACTGGAAGCTGATTCCACAAATGTGGAGCTTGATAAGAAAAGGCTCTGGCTCCCATTGTACTTTTAGAGACTCTAGGAACAACCAACAACCCTGCATTCTTGGAACGCAATGCCCTAGTAGGACAGTAGGGTATAATGAGTTCTTTAAGGTAAGATGGTGCCTGCCCATTAAGGGCTTTGTAGGCGAGAAGAATAATTTTAAATTCTATCCTGTGTTCTATAGGGAGCCAGTGTAAGGCAGCCAGAACAGGAGTAATGTGGTCCCTTTTCCTAACTCTGGTTAGTACACGAGCCGCAGCATTTTGAATCAGCTGAAGCCACTTGACTGACTTCTTGGTACACCCTGATAATAAAGAGTTACAATAATCCAGCCTTGAAGTAACAAATGCATGGACTCGTTTCTCTGCATCGTTTTGAGGCAAGATATGCCTGATTTTTGCAATGTTACGTAGATGGAAGTAGGCGGTCCTTGAAATTGATTTTATGTGGGCGTTAAAGGATAAATCCTGATCAAATATAACACCAAGATTCCTTACAGTCTCACTGGAGGCCAAATTAATGCCATCCATAGTTAGTATATCCTTAGATAATTTGTTTCGTAGATTATTCGGGCCAAGTACAATAACTTCAGTTTTGGTCGTGTTTAACATCAAACAGTTTAAGGTCATCCACGTTTTTAAGTCCTTAAGGCAGTCTTGAATTTTATTTAGATGATTAATTTCATCAGGCCTGATTGATAAATATAGTTGAGTATCATCCGCATAACAATGAAAATGTACAGAATGATTCCTTATAATATTGCCTAACGGAAGCATATATAATGTGAACAAGATCTAACCACTCATCAGGAACTACATTAAAATCCCCTCCGATTATAATCTTATCAATCATATAAAGTACTTTCCATTCCTCTCATTTTTGGCACAAGATTGAAAGAAAATGATTGTTTTTAATCTTTCTGTTATATCCATAAACACACACCAGTATGTAATTAGTCCCATTAACATCAGTCACAACCATTAGCCAATGAAAAACATGTTGTCTCCCCATTGTACTTTCCAGAACGTAGTATCTGCCTCTGCAGAATGAGTTTCTTGCAGAAAAACACAATTTGCCTTTTGTTCCCTTCCTTTTTTAGCCCCCTAGCATTTAAGGATATGAACGATAACATTGAAAGAGCAAAGATAGAAACCTTAAGAAAACGCGCAAAGGAATGATATATCGATGCGCAGGAGTGAGTAACGTAGCCCTTAACAAACATATTTAGTGCAATAGCTCACAACATTTTGAATATAACAAGTCCAATCCTAATAAAAATAAACACTCAAACTGAGAACTTCAGCATACCTACTGAGGACCGAAAACCTGCTCCCTGTCCCTCCAGTTCATTACTGCCGTGTTTTTCACGTTATTCCGGGTCCACTCTTTTGTTGTCAATCAGCGCGAAGCCTTCCTTCAGAAAAGCTCTCTTCCCCTTTCTCCTGGCTTCTTGAACCAGTGGCCACAGCTTGGAGCGAGCCTCCCGGTCCTCCTTGGAGAAATCCTCTTTGAAACGAATGTGCATCTCGCAGCAGCATCTTTGGACTTTTTCCAGATCTCGTCACGAACAGTCCTCATCCCGAACTGAATGATGCTTGACCTCGGTGTGTTGTTGGAAGTAGCTGCATTACCCTTCATACCCAGCCGATGGACAGTGTCTACTGAGTCACGCAGCTTTTCCACAGACAGCGGAACAACTCTTGTGATTATCCCGATCACAGCTTCTCTTGTGTTTTCTCCTTCTTTTTCAGGCAGACCATTCGTCCTCAGATTCCACCTCCATTTGTAGCGGGCTTGCTCCTCGCCACACTTACGTAATAAAGTGTTATCTTTCAGAAGATCATCAAACTTTTTCTGAAGAGCAGAAATGTCTTTCTTATTTTCTTTAGCTGCGTCAGTGTTTGCTTCAATGCGTTTTTCAAACTTTTTTAACAGCTCTGTCTGTTCATCCATTTTTCCGGATAAGACTTGTATCGCCTGGAGAATGGTGCTGCTGCTATCCTCTGCCATTTGTGTTTCGCCATGAACCTTTGATTTCTTTGGATTCGGTCCTTTAGTTGGTGTGTGGTCCCAATTTATTTTGTGTCCCTTAGAGTTGTCCGCTTCCATGTCCTCAATATCCGAGTCGTCACACGCCTCACGGAGAACTTTTACGTTGTAATCGTGGTCGGTCATGCTAGCAGGCACTTTATGTCAAAAGTGTTGGTAACTGAAGAGTTAGAAAAATGTGACTATTTGAAGCTTCTATAATAACTTAAAGTGTATCATGAATAAGCTATTGCCTGTCAGTTTTGCAGTAAAGGACTTAAATCTAAACTTTTTTTTAACGAGCATGCAACGTTGCTGCTTCTCACTCCGCCATCTTGCGCAACTCCCCATCCGAACACATCTGGTACCCCGAACACATCTGGTACTGACACCATCGCCACCGTAACCATAGCAACTTAAAGAATGCAGCGCCGCCACGTACAGATGGCAACATCCAGAAATATTCACAAATATAAAACAAATATTCAGAAACTGTAATGAACAATAACTATTATTTATTTCAAGAACTGTTATTTACAGAAACTCAACATTTCGAATCTGTGTGACACAAATATGCACGATTGTTTTGGGCTCCCCCTATTTATCTCAAAGTCGGCTTTCAGGGGAGCTCCCTCCCTCTTCGGGGGAGCCAAGCTCCCCCTGGCTCCCCCCCCCCCCCCATTTCGAACATTGGTTATATATTCTTTATTATCCACCGAGTGTGAACCATAGTAGCCCTTAGTAGGCGGAGTCGGCCACTACGGCTCGACAGTGACGTCAGAGTTAAACTCCCGCCTTCTCCAGCCTGCTCCAAATAAGGGCAAAGAGGCGGAGCCGAGGCGGGACCTGCTGCCACCGAGCTGGAAGCTCCAGAGCTAGCTGAAGCTACCAAGCTAAGCTAACATGCTCCCCATCTGCACGCTGCCGTCGCATTTTACGTTTCTAAGGTAAGCGGACAAGAAACTATTCAGCAAAACTATAAATAATAATCTAAGTTATTGAGCTTTTAGCATAATACTTCAGAATCTTAAAACCCCTTAACGTTTGTATGCAATTGTGCTAAATTCAACACTGGAATCAAGCAAATGTTAATATGTTTGCATGACATTAGTTATTTATATTTTGATATCACTTAATTATACGTTTAATACGTTTAAGTCAAGCTAAGGTACATGTGATGGTAGCTAGTTAGCGCTCTTACCTGTGAGGCCTCCTCCAAACAGCATAATAACCAGACTATCATTCAAACTAAGTACCAGTTATAGATCCTTGACTTTAGACAAACAATTCAAAAGACAAAATGTATTTAAAGACCAATCTTTATTTGAATGTGCCTCTTAACCTGAGATATTAGTTATACAGTAATAGTATTGACAATCTAAAAAAACTGAGCAACTCAACAGTCAACTTTATGTGTCTTATTGTCTAAAGCATTTATTATTTTCATTTGTCCCCTCTCATATTCAGTGCAGACGGATTGAGACAGCATGGTGTCCAGAGAGCTGCAGAGACTTCAGGGAGAAACCTCCGTGTGATGGACGTCCTGTCTGTTGGTGTGGAGAGGACTGAGGGTCTTTCCCCTGTGAGGAGGACTGAGGGTCTTTCCTCTGCGAGGAGGACCAGGCCTGATGGAGGAGCCCATGCTGGGCACAGCTGATACCAACTGCACAGGCCTAGTCTGTCACTTTATTTGACTACATGTGTTTACTTATACATTTAATAGGTTTAACGCATACATGTGTTTTTATTACATTAACAGTATTTTAATCAAAGCTGTTATTTTCTACTTGTTATATCACCACAATAAAGTAGAACATGAAAAATAAAAACCAGACCTCACAAACATTAGAAAGACAGCTGATAAAAACGCAGCTTTTATTTTGAAGGGGACCGAATAGCTCTCTGTTGCTACAGCGCTCCCCGGTTGGTCAGCTGACCGTCGGGCGGTCTGGTGACATCAAGCCCGCAGTTTAGCACCGAGACCCGGACCCACAGAGACCCGGACCTACCACTGAGATCCGGACCTACCACTGAGACCCGGACCCGACGAGATCCGGACCCATCACCGAGCCGGTCTCTGAGCCTCCTGACCCGGACCCGAGCCTCTCTGTGGAGCTCCTGAAACAAGCCGAGCTCTCCCCTCCCGGAGCCGGACCCACCTCTCTCTCTCCCCGATCCTCGGCTCCCCTCCTCTGTCTCTCCCCAGTCCTCGGCTCCTCTCCTCGGCTCCCTTCCTCTGGTCTCTCCTTTCTCCGGCTCCTGGTCCTGGTCCTCGGCTCCTCGATCCCCTCTCTCTCCTCGGGTCTCTCCCCTCCTCTGGTCCCCATGTCGCTGCTGGATCTGTGCCTGCAGGGCCTGGCCGTGTTCGGCTTCATCCTGTTCGGCGTCCTGTGGCTCATGCACTTCATGTCCATCATCTATGTGTGAGTGATGCTAAGATAGGCTAAGCTAACAATTGGCCATGTCCCTCATATTTGTGTGTGAGGCTAGGTTAGGCTAACCTCCGCTAGCTCCCCGTTAGCAGAGCTCCGCTCTGTGTTATTATAGATGAGCTGTATAGAGACAGATATCCCGCGGGGGTACAGCGTGGTGGGGCGTTTTCCTGTCAGTTAGCTGCTAACCCGTTAGCTCTGCCGCTAACTGTTACTGTTAACTGTTAGCTCTGCTGCTAACTGTTATTGTTAAATGTTAGATCTGCCGCTAACTATTACTGTTAGCTCTGCTGCTAACTGTTATTGTTAAATGTTAGCTCTGCCGCTAACTATTACTGTTAGCTCTGCTGCTAACTGTTATTGTTAAATGTTAGCTCTGCCGCTAACTGTTACTGTTAACTGTTAGCTCTGCTGCTAACTGTTATTGTTAAATGTTAGCTCTGCCGCTAACTATTACTGTTAACTGTTAGCTCTGCTGCTAACTGTTATTGTTAACTGTTAGCTCTGTAGCTTCAGTTATTAATGATATCCATTAAACAGAAGCAGCTGTTATTAAACGGTTCTGCTGTTATTTCCTGTTCCTCTATCAGCTTATAACAGCGGAGAGGACTCTTTAAAGTAGAGACACTACATACTGATATACACCTGAACATCAGCAGGAGAGGACTCTTTAAAGTAGAGACACTACATACTGATATACACCTGAACATCAGCAGGAGAGGACTCTTTAAAGTAGAGACACTACATACTGATATACACCTGAACATCAACAGGAGAGGACTCTTTAAAGTAGAGACACTACATACTGATATACACCTGATCATCAGCAGGAGAGGACTCTTTAAAGTAGAGACACTACATACTGATATACACCTGAACATCAGCAGGAGAGAACTCTTTAAAGTAGAGACACTACATACTGATATACACCTGAACATCAGCAGGAGAGGACTCTTTAAAGTAGAGACACTACATACTGATATACACCTGAACATCAGCAGGAGAGGACTCTTTAAAGTAGAGACACTACATACTGATATACACCTGAACATCAGCAGGAGAGGACTCTTTAAAGTAGAGACACTACATACTGATATACACCTGAACATCAGCAGGAGAGGACTCTTTAAAGTAGAGACACTACATACTGATATACACCTGAACATCAGCTGGAGAAGACTCTTTAAAGTAGAGACACTACATACTGATATACACCTGAACATCAGCAGGAGAGGACTCTTTAAAGTAGAGACACTACATACTGATATACACCTGAACATCACCAGGAGAGGACTCTTTAAAGTAGAGACACTACATACTGATATACACCTGAGCATCAGCAGGAGAGGACTCTTTAAAGTAGAGACACTGCACACTGATATACACCTGAACATCAGCAGGAGAGGACTCTTTAAAGTAGAGACACTAAATACTGATATACACCTGAACATCAGCAGGAGAGGACTCTTTAAAGTAGAGACACTGCATACTGATATACACCTGAACATCAGCAGGAGAGGACTCTTTAAAGTAGAGACACTACATACTGATATACACCTGAGCATCAGCAGGAGAGGACTCTTTAAAGTAGAGACACTGCACACTGATATACACCTGAACATCAGCAGGAGAGGACTCTTTAAAGTAGAGACACTAAATACTGATATACACCTGAACATCAGCAGGAGAGGACTCTTTAAAGTAGAGACACTGCATACTGATATACACCTGAACACCAGCAGGAGAGGACTCTTTAAAGTAGAGACACTACATACTGATATACACCTGAACAATCAGCAGGAGAGGACTCTTTAAAGTAGAGACACTACATACTGATATACACCTGAACAACAGCAGGAGAGGACTCTTTAAAGTAGAGACACTACATACTGATATACACCTGAACATCAGCAGGAGAGGACTCTTTAAAGTAGAGACACTACATATGATATACACCTGAACAACAGCAGGAGAGGACTCTTTAAAGTAGAGACACTAAGTACTGATATACACCTGAACATCAGCAGGAGAGGACTCTTTAAAGTAGAGACACTACATACTGATATACACCTGAACAACAGCAGGAGAGGACTCTTTAAAGTAGAGACACTAAGTACTGATATACACCTGAACATCAGCAGGAGAGGACTCTTTAAAGTAGAGACACTACATACTGATATACACCTGAACATCAGCAGGAGAGGACTCTTTAAAGTAGAGACACTACATACTGATATACACCTGAACATCAGCAGGAGAGGACTCTTTAAAGTAGAGACACTACATACTGATAACACCTGAACAACAGCAGGAGAGGACTCTTTAAAGTAGAGACACTAAGTACTGATATACACCTGAACATCAGCAGGAGAGGACTCTTTAAAGTAGAGACACTACATACTGATATACACCTGAACAACAGCAGGAGAGGACTCTTTAAAGTAGAGACACTACATACTTCTCATTCTTTCCCCCCCCCCCCAGACGTCTGCACTTGCACAGGAAGAGGTCGGAGGTCAAAGGTCAGATGGCCGGAGTCTCTCTGCTCAAACCGCTGAAGGGCGTCGACCCCAACCTGATCAGCAACCTGGAGACCTTCTTCACCCTGGACTACCCCAAGGTACACACACACACACACACACACACACACACACACACACACACACACACACACACACACACACACACACACACACACACACACCTTTCAGTCGGAGAGTACAGTCATATAAATCTTTTTTTTTTGTTCCTGTTCTGATTTTATATAAAGCGTCTTTGAGCGTTAGGAAAAGCGCTATAAAAATCCAATGTGTTATATATAATTGTGTGTGTGTGTGTGTGCGCAGTACGAGGTGCTGCTGTGTGTTCAGGATCAGGACGACCCCGCGGTGGATGTGTGTAAGAAGCTTTTGGGGAAATACCCCAACGTTGACGCCCGTCTGTTCATCGGTGAGAAACGGCCCACTGTTTGTCTCAGCTAGCTACATGTAGCCGTTAGCCGCTAACGTTAGCACCTGTTGGTTCTCAGGGGGGAAGAAAGTTGGAATCAACCCCAAGATCAACAACCTGATGCCGGGCTACGAGGGAGCGAAGTACGGGCTGGTGTGGATCTGTGACAGCGGCATCAGAGGTACTGACCCACTGGCACTCTGAGCGACTGCTTATCTGCTTTATTTGTTCTATGTCCTGTATATAATATATAAATATATTTGTATATAATATATAAATATATATATATATATATATATATATATTTATATAATATATAAATATTAGGGCTGTCAAATGATTACCATTTGTAATCATGATTAATCACCATTC